CCATCTGTTGCCAATCTTCCTCTTTTTCTGGCTAGAGGAATATTGTTGCTGAGCTAACATCTGTGCCAATCTTCCTCTATTTTGTATGTGGGATGCTGCCACAGCATGGCTTGATGAGCAGTGTGTAGGTCCGGGCCCGGGATCTGAACCCACGAACCCCAGGCCGCCGAAGTGGAGCACACAAGCTTGATCACTGTGCCACCGGGCCAGCCCCAGGTTGACACATATTAACCATCACAGAGTCATACCCCTCCACAAGGGGCAAGAAATACATACTATGGTATTTTGCTAATGAACTGATGTAACTTGGGTTTTGTCCATTTGCATTTTCAAGTTACTGAATTCAATGAAGTACTTGAATTAGTTGATTTTCTAGTTACAATTGCCTAAATATTCAGGCTCTGGGAGTCACAACCATGTGGCATGAAGTGGGAACTAATTATGTGACATTTTTGGATAGGTTTATTCATTATTCTGTATGTTTTATTGAGCACCAACTTGGACCAGCAACATCTTAGGCTCTAGGTATATATCAGTTAATTGGATATAGTTCTTGCCCTCTCGCAGCAGGCCTTCTGGGGAAGAAAGGCACCATAAATAAGTAACAAGAAAATAAATGTCTCATATACATTGTGATACAAGTTATGATGAGAGTAAACAGAATGCAGGGAGAGTTAGAAAGGTGTGAGGTGATCCCCACAGAGGGAACAATATGTGCACAGTCAGTGAGGTGCAAAAAATCTTGGCACGTGGAGGGTGTTAAGAAGCTGAGAGCAAGCCAGTCTGCTGGAGCGTGGTAGGGAGAAGGGCTGGCATAAAGTGAGGTGAGAAAGACCAGCAAGGGCCAGGGCGTGCAGGGCTTTGCAGGAGGTGAATGGATTTGGATTTTGAATCAGTGTGCAAAGACCGTGGTAATTGATTTGAACATTTGACTAATGGGATTTTTCAGTTTGAGAGCATTTGGATGCATAGAGACTGTGGTCTGGCAAATGCTAGATGCTGCTTAAGGCAAATGTTAGAATTAAGTTAGATCCATTTTTTCCCCCATGAGAACACAATTCCATATGGTCATATATGATTATAGAAAGATAGATTTTTGACATTCAAATTATCAGGTAACATTTCATTTAGTAGTATATAGTAAATCAGAAAATGAATCAAACCCAAAGTATTGTCAGTGGAGAAGAAGGCAGCTTGGATGTACAACTTCCTGTTCTCTTGGGGAGACTGTTGAGGGGATATTTTCCACGTGCCTCTGCATTTTCTGCATATCTTGTGAGTGAGTCACTAACTGCTCTTTGTTTTGAAATATCTTTAGGATATTTGTTTAGTGAACAACCTTTAAAGGTAGAAATAGTGTTTTCCTCTGTAGCAAAGGGCAAGTTGGCTTACAGCCTTGGAAACTCAGGGTTTCTCTCCTGAAATGAAACCCACTGCTTGTACAAGCGTCCATCTGGGCTCACCTGTGTTGCTCTAAGGGCAAGGGGAACTGATGCAAATATACCCATGCTCATGCTGCTTGCTATGTGGTGAGTAATAAATAAAGTTGTGTCTCTGACCCAGGAGTCTTGTGTCTTCTGCTAGCATCCCTGAAATTGAGGCAGGCTAACTTGTTAGCTTACAAGTTGGGCAAAATCTCAGACCTTTCACACTTCTGGACAGGGATCCCCTCAGCCGTCTGAGCAGGCAGGTACAATGCCAGGCAGGTGATACCCAAGTGCTTTGCAGTCTGCAAACTATCATATTAGCATTTTTGTCATTGCTTTTCTCCTCCAAAGTCACAAGATGAGCTATTCTCAGACAATCACATCTTAAGTGTGACTTCTTTTCTAAGATACATGTGTGAAACCTACTAGCTACTAATTATTCTGCCTTAAATATTCTTAACCAAGTGGGAGAAAATTTCAACAACAGAAAGAATGCTATGTTAAAATTTTAAGATCATCAAGTCATAAAATATATTGAAATGATACCTGATTTAAGATAAAAATTTTATGTACGTCTGTGTGCCTGAAAATATAACTGAAGCGTATGTCCATGGAAGATTGTTATATGATAAGTACTACGGGCCTAACACTGTGGTTGCTGAGTGTTCACAGAACCATTATTATCACAGTACAGGATCAGCAAGGGCTTGACCTCTCACCTCCCCCTGACCGGGGATTTGAGGGGCAATGTGATCAGACACTGCTGCTGCCATGGGAGACCACGAAGTACTGCTCTGGCAGCTGGCGGTGTTCTGTATTTGCACTGTCCAATACAGTGGCCACCAGCCACAAGAGCACTTGAAGTTTTGATTAGTCCAAATTGAGATGTGTATAACTGTAAATTATACAACGGATTTCAGACTCAGGGTGGAAAAGGAAGGTAAAATAGATCATTGATAATTTTTAAAAGTAATTACATTTGAAGTAATATTTTAGATGTATTAGGTTAAATAAAATATATTACTATTATATTACTAACTTCACCTGTTTATTTTTACTTCTTTCACTGTGGCTACTGGAAAATTTTAAATGACATATGTAGCTTTTATATTTCTGTTGAACAATGCTGCTCTAGATCCTTGCTACTCGCAGGGCAGTCCTCTCACAGGCAGCATCAGCATCATCTGGAAACTTGTTAGAAACAAAGGAGCTTGTGCCCCACCCCAGACCCACTGAATCAGAATCCGCATTGTAACAAGATCTCCTGTGATTTATGTGCATGTTAAAGTTTGAGTAGCAGAGAGTCCCTAACACTAGGATTGCCAGACTTAGCGAACAAAAATACAAGATATCCGGTTAAATTTAGTTTTCAGATAAACAGCAAATAAGTTTATACCACAATAAAGAAAATCCTCCAAAAAGAAAGTGTCAGCGTTTTCGGCACTTAAGAACCTTGATCTCTTTAATGGCGACGTACTGGTTGCTGACAAGGGCTGTTTGTAAGTGACATTTCAGAGATGATGGATTATTGTGTTTTTTTAATATAAAACAACTCTTAGGGATTTTGTTGTTTTGTTTTTTGCATGCTTTTTAGGTGGGGGTGGGTGAGAGGGGAGGCCTGCAGAGAAGGAGTAACAACTGATATTCTTTATTTAGCTAGGCATTGAAGTAAGAAAAGGCTTTAATCTATGATATTTATTTATTTATTTATTTAAAATTTTATTTTATTGTGGTAAAAACACAACATGAGATCTACCCTCTGAACAAATTTTTAAGTGTACAATACAATATTATTAAGTAAAGTACAGCAGATCTCTGGAATTTATTAATCTTGCTTAGTTGAAACTTTTTGCAATTTCCCGTTTCCTCCTCCCCCCAGCACGTGGCAATCACCATTCCACGCTTTGATTCTATAAATTTGCTTATTTAGTTACCTCATATAAATGAATCATGTAGTATTTGTGACGGGCTTATTTCACTCAGCACAAGTCCTCAAGGTTCATCCATGTTGTCACTTGTTGCAGAATTTTCTTTTTTTTTTTAAGACTGAATAATATTCTATTGTATGTGTATACCACGTATTCTTTATCTATTCATCCATCTGCAGACACTTACGTTGTTTCCACATCTTGGCAATTGTGATTAGTGCTACAGTGAACTTAGGAGTGCTAATACCTCTTTGAGATCCTAATTTCAATTCTTTTGGATAAATACCTATAAGCGCAGTTGCTGGATCATATGGTAGTTCTATTTTTTATTTTTTAAGGACTCTCCATACTATTTTCCATAGAAACTTCACTCATTTGTATTCCACCCAACATGGACAAGGGTTCCAATTTCTCCACATCCTTGCCAACATTTGTCTTGTCTTTTTGATAATAGCCATCCTGACAGGAATGAGGTGATATCTCTTTGTGATTTTGATTTGCATTCCCCCAATGATTAGTGACATTGAGCACCTTTTCATATACATGTTGGCCATTTGTATGTCGCCTTTGGAGAAATGTCTATTCAAGTCTTTAGCCCATTTTTAAATTGAGTTATTTTTTTTTTTTTTGCTATTGAGTTGTAGGAGTTCTTTATGTATTTTGTTATGTATATAACCCTTTATCAGATATGTGATTTGTAAATATTTTCTCCCATTCTGTGGGTTGCTTTTTTACTCTATTGATTGTTTCCTTTGCTGTGCAGAAATTTTTTAGTTTGACGTAGTCCCACTCGTCTATTTTTACTTTTATTGCCTGTACTTTGGTGTCATATTCATGAAATCATTGCCAAGACCAGTGTTATGAAGCTTTTCCTCTATGCTTTCTTGGAGGTTTTAAGTTTTAATCTATTTTGACTTGATTTTTCTGTATGGTGTGAAATAATGGTGCAGTTTCGTTCTTTTGCATGTGGATATCCAGTTTTCCCAGCACCATTTGTTGAAGAGACTTTCCTTTCCCCGTTGTGTGTTCTTGGCTCCCTTGTTGAAGATCAGTTACTGTATATGCATAGATTTATTTCTAGGTTCTCTATTCTGTTGTGTTGGTCTATATGTCTGTCTTTATGCCAATACTGTACTGTTTTAATTACTGTAGCTTTGTAATGTATTTTGAGATCGGGAAGTGTGTTGCCTCCAGCTTTGTTCTTCTTTCTCAAGATAGATTTGGCAATTCAGGGCCTCATTTAATCTTCACAACAATTCTTTGAGTGAAGTACTTTTGTCCCCGCTCTGCAGATGAGGAAACGAGGCTCAGGAGTAGAAGCAACTTGCCTAATATCTGACAGAAGGAAGATGTCGGCACTGGGAATGCACTTGAGTGCTGTCTGACCCCAAGGTCGGTGTTCTTTACCATTATGTTCCATGCCTCTCAGCAAATGGAGAGTCATGAATTCAACAGGAAACTCTGAACTAGGACACATGTAAAATTAGGTAAGTTCCAGCGATTTTTACTCTTATTCACTTGAAAAATGCATGTAATAATGTATACTTAATAGATTTTGAGAATTTAGTAGCTTCCAGAAAAGTGGTATGAGATGCATATTAAGAGTTATATAAGAGGATCAAAACAGTGCCAATTTTTCTCTAAAAATCTTCTCCCTAAAAATCTTTCAGTGAGATAATCAAACAACCTGAATAGACCCAGGGTTTAACTCTATACTCTAAATTAAGCAGTATCAGGCCCCTCCCTCCAACCTCCCCCACACATAATACATCCTGGGAAAGCTGTCCTCTTATTGGTTGAATGTATTGTCAGTCACATGGCCTGAAAAGTACTGCCTCTGCTCTGTTTGCATTTATGAATTAACAGATGTGCTTGGTTTGAAGAAACTGATTCATTTCTTGATGGGAAGAAAAATCTTGTTTAGTTTTTCACTTATTTTTTTATGTATGGGATTTTCACTAACTTTGGACCAGATATTTGCCAGGAAGAATGTAAGGTGAGTAATTGCACGTCTTTTAATGCAGTGCATCTGTGAACTTCATTGTAAGTGTGAAATTATGTGGCTCTGTAATTTCTTTATATGCGACATTTGTTTATAATTAAAAATGGATATACTAGATTAGACCATTCAGTAGCTACTAAAATCATTGAACTAGAGTTTATAAATAAGAAATAAAAATATAGTCTTTATTATAGGAGGGAAGAGTTATTTGTTCAAAATACTCAAGAAACATTTGTATTATGTATCAAAGTATATATCTATGAGAAAATGACTCCTCAAACCAGTGTTCAGGTTTCTTTTATGCTTATATGTAAATGTTAATTTCACAGTTTCTCCTACCATTATTATGTGAGAGAGAAAGTAAGGAAAAAATTTAAAACCTCAGAAATATAAAATCTGTCCCCCAAAGAAAAGATGTTGAATTATTTTAACTGGTAGGAGACAGTACTTGTGTGGAGTACACACTATTTAAAAATAACATGCAAAACTTCTATTTCTATTTCCTTTGTCCTTCTGGTTTCTTTCCATACCATGTAAGGGAACCTACAGAGGTTTATCTCTAAGGAGGAATGATCAGAGTCTCAGTAGCATTTAATTTATGTCGTATCTGCCAATTACACATTGTGTGCCATCTCACAAATGCATCAGGGAATTTAATGTGAACACAAAGGACACAGCAAGCAGGATGATCTGCTAAAACTTGTGCTAAAGAATCCTTCAGTCACCAGCTGATAAAAACTATAAGTATAGGCATTTTTAATTTGTTTTCCCTCATTGTTTCCAAATCACTTACTGCTTTCCTTCAGATTTACTTTCAAACAATAAGTGACCTGTACTCTTTAGTTTACTGATTTGTATATTACACTGGTAAAATGTACACCAAGAACTATAAAAACTCCAATTCTGATTTTTGAAGCAAGGTTCATGGGTTTACATAATCTTAGCTTCAGAAGGGACCTTAGAAATCACATAAATCAATGATCATGTGAATCTAATATGGCACATTAATTCATTATGAAGGAAACAACAGTTGCTGTTTTGTGAATGTTGTTTCAAATCATGGATAATTAAAAATATCTTTCAACTCTATCGGGCAATTCAGGGTTCTTAAGTCTCTAGGAGGGTGATTGTATTTTAAGCTTGATATGTGTTTCCTGAGCTTAGAGAGGGTAGAGGTCCCCACTCTTCTCTTACACGTTCCTTCCCCAGATTGGATTTATGCTGAAACCAAAAGGAAATCTTTTCCCCTCAGACAGCATCCTGTGTGATCTCCCATTTTCTGCTTCCCTTTCAGAGTTTGTTCGTTCATTAATTTGTTAGTTCATTCATACATGTAACACATTTTTTTAATACTTGGTACTTTTAAATGGGTAGGCACGGAGCTAGGTGCTGGGTCTACAGTGGTGAGCAAATCAGATAGAGTCCTTGCCCTCATGGAGCTGTGAGTCTAGTGGGGGAGGTGCTCATTAGTCAAGGGATAGATATCACAAGTCAACTTTGGAATGTGCTGTGAAAGAAAAGTATAGGAGGCAATGACCACATATAATAGGGGGATCTGAACTAGTCTGAGAAGTTAGGGACAGTGTTCCTGGGAAGTGATATTTGAAGCTGTGGTCTGGAGGATATGTAGGAAATAACGAGGAGGTAGGGAGAGGGGAGGGTGGAGAAGATTCCGGTGCAGGGAGCAGCAGGTGCTAAGGCTCGTGTGAGGGAGGAAGGGAACATGAAGGATTCAGGGACCTGAACTGAAGAATGCTGTTGTAGCTGCAGAGAGGGAGGGGAAGAGGTGAGGTGAGCTGAGCACAGCTGGCAGGCTGAAGTCTCTCAGGGCTTGGTAGGCCGTGGTGGGAAGGTGTTCTTCATCCTGAGTAGGACCACGAGGGAGCTGCTTCACCTTCACTTTCATGCTTGACATACTTGGGAGACTCCTGACGGAAAACCTGGTGAATCAAAAATATGTCACCAGCCACAAGTGTAAGGCTCTTGATTACTTTTCAGGTATTACAGAGATCCCTTTTACTGAAAAAAGGTCTGAATATTTTAGTGACAATCTAGGTTCAATATTTTTAAGCCATTGTTTCTAAGTTTATTCACTCAGATAATTTTAACCACATAATTCTTTAGTGACTACTTTAGTTTAGAGATTATGCCATGATGAGAAAATGCATATATATTTTGCCTTTGGTTGAGATTATGGCTTCCCAGAAAACCTCATTAGTTCAGGCTTATGGGTGTGGGCAAGGCCTATCTAAATTACAGCTTATTTAAAAAAGAAGTATAGCAGCATTATTGTATATTCATGATCATATCCATTGAAATGAAAATAAGCCTATGTTGTCTACTAGAAGCTTTTCATTAGTGAACATACGAAAATTTTTAATTAGTAGAGCGAAATCTCAAGCCAAGCGTGTTAAGGATATGATAGCTCATTCATTCATTCATATGCTTTTATTCAATAAACATTTATTAAACTCCCCCTCCTAACTACATATTTCTAAATGATGTGATGAATTTTTATCTTATTTGGGTAAAATGTATCTCATAATTTTCTTTTTTTTTTCATTAAGACATTTTAAAATTGAATACTTAACCCTAATTATGAAATATGATTTTGAATAAAGTTTAAATTAAAAAATTTTAAAAGATCTGTTTGTATATAGTTATGTTTTTAGAAAGCTTGAAGCTCTTCAAGAGGTATTGTCTGGGTATTAGTGTTTCTTTCATATATTCAGTTACTAATTAACTTGTACTACAGAGTTTAGAGTTTAGGTAGATAGAGATCTTTTGGCTAAAGCATATCTCTGTTGTACTTACATGATTACTTTGATTGGAACCTCCCTTTTGCTGCTCAGGAAATTAAATTTCTTCGTGCTCCTAGAGGTGGTTGAGCTCAGAGGACTGATTCATGCTAACCCTACTTTCCTATACAGGAAATTTAGTATAGATCAGAATGCAAGCATCAGTGTGACTATGTATACATCATTCAAGGGCAAGTCAGTTAGCATACTGTAATTGTTCCCTTTTTTTTTCTTTGTACAACTCTTTCCTTTTCTGTTGAGTTAAAAATTGCCCCTTTTCATTTGCAATTTAAAAAATATGCATGTCCTTAATTCTTTTCACACATCCCCTCGTCTAACTTGTAGTGTAGTCTCTCAAATCCCCCCTTTTTCCTAGAAATCTCCCTGTAGGTCTCCGCGCTTTAGAGCCCTTTTGTCCTCTTGCTCCAGTCTGGGTCGGTTCTTTCTAGGTCTGATGTGCAATAGTCATCCTTAGGCTTCTTTTCATCACTCTTCTGAGTTAGATCCAGTATTTATTAGAACCCGTGCTTTCCTCTTGCTTGGTTTTCTCCTTTACTTTGCTGGAGCGCATCCTCCACTAGCTTGCTGTGAAAGGGTGTGGTGGATACATTTTCTGAAACCTTGCATGATTCTTGTTTTTTGTTTCTGGAATCTAATAGGATATTTTCTTTATCTCAGTTTCCAACATGTTATAAGTACTTTATTCACAAATATCAACTCAAAATGGATCACAGACCTAAATATAAAAGCTAAAACTTTAAAACTTCTAGATAAAAACACAAGAGAAAATCTTTGTGACCTTATGTTAGGAAAATATTTCTTTTAGACAAAAAACATAGACCATGAAAGAAAAAAACTGAATACATTAGACTTTATGAAAATTAAAACTTTTCCTTTTTGAAAGTCACAATTAAGAAAATGAAAAAGCAAAACATGTAACGGGAGAAAATATTTTCAATGCATATATCTGATGCAAGATTTGTATTCAGGACATACAAAGAACTCTTGCAACTCAATAATCAGAGGAAAATTAATTTAATTTAAAAAATTGGCAAAAGATTTAAACACACACGAAAGAAAATACATGAATGGTCAATAGATATAAGAAAAGATGCTCCACATCATTAGTCATCAGGGAAAGGGAAATTTAAACTACAATGAGATAGCAACCCACACCCATTAAAATGGCTAAAATTAAACAGACCGACAGTACCAAATGTTAGCAAGAAGTTGGAGCTGCAGAAAACCTCCTATACTGAAATTGGCAGTTTCTTAACAAGTTAAACGAACTCCTAATATATGACTTAGCCATTCTACTTTTGGGTATGTATTCAAGAGAAATAAAAACATATTCTACATAAACCCCTGTACATGAATGTTCTTTTATCTTTATTTGTAGCAGCCCCAAACTAGAAACACCCTAAATGTCCAGCAATAGGTGCATAGACCAACAAATGTGGTATATCCATACAATGAAATATTTCTCAGTAATAAAAAAGGAATGAAATATTGATGCATGTAACAACAGCAATGAATTTCTGTCATTGTGTCAAGACTGAAAGAAGCCAAACACTAAAGAATATATGTTATGTGATTCTATTTACATGTAATTCTATAAAATGCAGGCTAATCTCAAGTGACAGAAGGCAAATTCGTAGTTGCCTGTGGCTGGGGGTGGAGGGAATATCCCCTCCACTGCAAAAGTACATGGGAAAACTCTTGTAGGATGTAAATGTTCTGTATGTTTATTGTGGTGGTGGTGTCATGGGTATATCCATATGCCAAAACTCCTCAAATTTACACATTGAATGGATGCAGTTTATTGTACTTAAATTATGCTTCAATAAAGTTGATAAAAATGAATGAATAATTGCATACATGCATGAATTTATTAATAACAACTAGTAGACATCACAGTCACCAATTTGTCATCTTCAGAAATTCTCATTAGATAATAGAAATTGTATTACAAAGAGAATGGTGCATTTAATTTGTAATTGGCTCCATATAATTAATTTTAAACCACTTTACCATGATGTAGACTTAGTAACTCTTTAGCTAAAATTATGTTTTGCATATAGATGATGATATGTAATTTATATATTTCTCTAATTGTGAAAATGTTTAGAGTTTGTATGATAGTTATACCTACAGGTGTTGGATAGGAATCTCTTTAAGTGTAGAGTTTGACCTACGTTCTCATATACTACAGGTACAACTTATGAAAAATTTAAAATATGCAATCAACTAAAAATTTTTATGACAATTGGAGATTTAAACACTGACATGACATTTAATGTGAAAGAATTATTAATATTTTCTAGATGTAATTGGGCTGTTATTTTTAAAAATCCTTGTCTTTTAGAAACATGTACTTAAATGATATAATTCTGATATTTTCTTCAAAATAATACTAGAGAGGGGAAGTGAGTAGGCTTATAGGTGAAACAAGATTGGTTATGACTTTACAATTACTAAAGCTGGATGATGGGTACAGGTACATGGTGAGGAGGCTTATATTTTTCTGTTTATATTTGTGTATGTTTGCAATATTTCATCATAAAAAGATGTGTCTATCTTCTAACTTAACAATTTCATTTCTAGGAATTTATCTTAAGGAACTTCTCAGGGGTATGAACAAACAATCCACAATAATGTTCAATGTAGTATTGTTTATTAATTGAAACAACTTAAATACATAATAGGAATTTGGTTAAATAAATTGATACATTTGTATGATGTAATACCATATGGAATTCAAAATTATGTCAGAAAAATATGTAATAACATGGAAAAATATTTATGATATATTTTTAAGTGAAAAAAATTGCAGGCTCAAAAACAGAATGTTTACAAAAATCTGTTTTTAAATTTTATGAAAAGTAAATTAGGGGCTGGCCCTGTGGCGCAAGCAGTTAAGTGTGCGCGCTCCGCAGCGGCGGCCCAGGGTTCGCCGGTTCGGATCCCAGGCGCGCACCAACGCACCGCTTGTCAGGCCATGCTGTGGCAGCGTCCCATATAAAGTAGAGGAAGATGGGCACGATGTTAGCCCAGGGCCAGTCTTCCTCAGCAAAAAAGAGGAGGATTGGCATTGGATGTTAGCTCAGGGCTGGTCCTCCTCACACACACACACACACACACACACACAAAAAGTAAATTATATGTGTGTGGGGGTGTGTGTGTGTGTATGTAGAGTGAAACGCTGCAAAGATATATAATTATATAATTTATATCCTCATAATTTTCAGAAATACCTTTTTGGCAAATGAGTCTGTCTTTTAGTAAAAAGGGTTGAATATTTTTACTTTAATATGTTAACAGTACAATGTAGTATAAAATTTCACTGTAAAATATTTATGTTTTATTATTTGTTTATTTGGTTATTATTTATTTTTGGTTAAAATTCAGTGTCTAGCATACTGCTTGACTCATACTAGGCTCTCAATAATATTATTCAATCAATAAGGATTAGGGTAAATATTTAAAAATTTTTTCTTCTTTAAATTTTTCTGCATTTTTCTTATTTTCCTTGGAGAACATATATTACTTTTTAAGTCAGAAATTCACTATTAAAAAGTGGACAGTTTTGACACGCTAAGGTCCTCTACTCTGAGATGTAATAAACCAAAATATGTCCTCCTTAACACTTCATATGAAATCTGAAATAGATGTTCAACATCTTTTTATTTTTGTTTTTTCTAGTTTCAGCTCTCGAACATCGTCAAATAAAGAGACGGTTGTAAACAGTGGTAAGACCTGTAATTGCCCTTATGGTTCCTTGTGGGGTTTGAGGAAGGGTTTAGTCTGTGGTGGGCTTCGCTGAACACTGGTGCTTGAGCTGGAGTCTCTCATGTGAAGATCTCTTACACTAGTGTATTCTAAATTATGAGTCAAAAGACGCTCAAGCCGGGTGTATTTCACAGTGCTTAGCATATAACTGTCACTCAATTACATTAATAAATCAATGACATTTAGCCTTTGTACTCATATCATTTATTTGACAGATCAACAGAATAATGGAGATATGAAAACAATCCAGAATTTCACAACAATACCAATGACACAGGTATGGATACGTTAGGAAAGTAGATTGTATCTTTAAAAAAAATTTAAATACATTTCAGTCAGGTCAGAGCCACTGTGAAAATATAAATAATAATTCTATTAATAACTAACATTCTTGCTTGAACCTTGGATGGGGAAATGTATTATGGTAATCTTATAGTTGAGAAAAAACTAAAGTTTCGCTTGCTGTCATATATTTTCATTACAATATTCAGTTTCACTTTTGCTGCTTTCCAGACAGAATCACTATAGTAACAGTTTATCTTTGGTTACTGGTAAACTTGGATTGCTGCTGCCTGTTTAATTTCTCTTTTATCTGTACTTACACTGGAGTAATTGGTATGGAATAGTTAATCTAGATAAGTGAATCTTCTTTCAGATATAAACCTGTCTTTGTGACCAGCAGAGTCAGGTGCTGAAGTGCATTGTCTTGGGCTTCCTGGAAACTGCAAAGGTTTCATAAGATGTAGAACCATGTTAGAATACTTTGCTAGTTTATGTATATTTAATGATCCTGAGCTGCACTGTCCAAGACTTTTAGCCACTAGCCACATGTGGCTATCTAAATTTAAATTCAGATGAAATAATATTAAGTAAAAGTAAATGTTAAAACTCCCTAGTTGCACTGGCCGCATTTCCAGTGCATAATAATAGCCATATGTGCCAGTGGCTACTGCACTGAAAACTGCAGATATAGAACATATCCAATATTGCAGAATATTCTATTCGATATTGATGGTCTGGAGAATTATGCTTGATTTCTAGAAACCTCTTGCTTTTTTTAACATGTTAATTTCTTTATTTAAAGTCCTGCATTATTTGGGTTCTTATGATATTATTTTCTGAAGAGATTACTGCCATTAGTTTCATGGCATGGTGAATTTTTTTTTTTTAATAATAGACTTTATTTTTTTTTGAGTAGGTTTAGGTTTACAGAAAAAATTGAACTAAAAGTATGGAAGGTTCCCACATATCCCCGCTATCACTCCCCCCTCCAATTTCTCCTATATTTAACATCACGTGTTAGTGTGGTACATTTGTTAAAATTGATGAGCCAATATTGATACATTATTATTAACTGAAGTCCATAGTTTACATTAGGATTCACTCTTTGTGTTTTACATTTTATGGGTTTTAACAAATGTATAATGATCTCTATCCACTGTTACAGTGTTATACAGAATAACAGTTTCATGGCCCCAAAAATCTGCTGTGCTTCTCCTGTTCATCCCCTCTTCCTCCCGCAGCATGCTGATTTAAAGTCTATATTGCTAATATTATTATTTGCAAAGTTTATTTCGTTTGTTTTTTACAATTTGATTCTTTCCATTTTTGGTGCTTTGTGGAACTGGGTTCATGTACCTTTCAGGTATACCTATCATTTTAGGCTTTTTATGATCTAGTCTACCCATCTCCTTTGCCCCACAGTAGCGTGGACCCTGGAGCTAGAGAGATCAGAGTTTCAGCAGGTTGTGAACTAACCTTTTACTTCCAAGAAGCCCTTTGTACCATGGAAGCAAATTCATGTCTTAAATTTCGTTTATTTGGTTAATTAGGCTCTCAGCTACAATCTGAGCAGACAAGGCCATTTGGAGAAAGAACCTTGGAATGCGTTCAGCCATCATAGTCCAGTTAATGTCTCCATGGATGGAATTCCCTGCATTCTCTTCTGGGCCAAAAGAATAACAATTAAATTTAAGAATCAGACCTGGCTGGACCTTACAGGTGAAGCTTTTGGCCAGAAGGCAACAGTGGATGCTGGCAACTCAAACTGCAGTCAGGAAAGTGCCACGTAAGTTGACCGCTTTGAGGGAGGAAGCCCTGAGGGAGACTGTAGTCTATTAACTGGGCATCCAGTTTTCTGAGATTTCGGAAAAAATAAGTAGGCTGTTTTGTACATGACTCTGGCACACATCTTTGAGGAAATGTTTAACGTCTAAAATGGAGGAACCAGTCGATTAATTTTTGAAAATTTTTAATTTTTTTCCCAGCAATTTTCTTCTGAACGCTTTAGCTGATTGTTACAATACCTTGTGGAAAATCAGGGTTCTGAAAATGAAGGTTCCCAAACTCACCCTGAACAAGAGAAAAGGATTCCAGGCTTAGTATCAACTCCAAATGTGAGGTGTAAACTACTTTTGTCCCACCGGGGAGGAAGTTACATATCACTGAGCAGAGTCATACATATTCTCGTGGGTGGAACAGAGAAGGCGGACTCTAGTCGGCGCAGATGTTTGGTTGTAGGGAGTGTTCTGAAGTTGTGGAACGTCGCCTGTTTGTAAATGTGCATGGGAACCTTTGTAATGGGCAAATTTCAGAGAATTCTTTAGGACATTTCATAATGTTTAGAATAATTACTTTTGATTTGAGATAAGCAGATTAAACAAGTATCCCTTTCAAAGAAGAAGTCAACTTCCAATGCCTTTCTCTGCTTTTCAGTCATCCAAGCAGCAGTTTTTTGCTTGTATTTGTTTTGATCCGGGGGGAGGAAGTCTGGCATGTCCCACTTGCTTTCTATAAACCTCCTTGCTTTCAACATTTGCTGGTATAATGGAGGCTTTTGGAAGATTCTCTGCATTTGTTCTGGCCTGGTTTAGATGGGCAGATTGATTTGTATGAACCATAACCTAATTGTGTGTGTGTGTGTGTGTGTGTGTGTGTATTCTTTTTGTATTTTATATACTTTGGCTGGAAACACTTTTTTATTCCTGAACTTTACTTATCATTTAAAAATTCTTGATGAGTAAACATGGATTATATTAATATACACTTACAAGTTATATTACAAGTCTTAGTAAGTATCTTGCTACTCAGAAAGACCATCTCTTATTAGGGAATTGTAAGCATAAGCATCCAGAGTCCTCCCAGATCTGTGTATTCTGTTACAGCATGACTACCAAAGAGACTCCAGCACTCTTGAGAGCTCAGGACTTTTTCCTCAGGCCCTAATTAATTCCCTACAGGGCTCTTTATTTGTGGTCAGCTGTGCGGAGAGAGGCTGATTGCCTGGGGATCATCTTGCCTGTCCATGGCTGACTGGCCCGCCTTGATTCCATTTATCCTGACCCCAGGGTATTTGTGGGGAGGATCAGGGCACTACAGCTTTTTGCTGGGCTTTAGAAACCTTAATGATCACTGAGAACCCAGAGACAAAAGAATGAAAACTTGGCTGCTAGGCCCAGTTCTGCTAGTGAGCTCTGTGACTTTACAAACAGGAACCACCTTCGGATCATCATCTGTGAGATGGAGATGATAGCATCTATTAATTGTAACTAACAGGTCTTGAATGCTTACCGCACAGTGACACATGAATGATTGGGCAGGGCCTGACTGTTTCTTTCTGGTCACCACCCTGGAATTCTACTTGGGGCGAGTCCTGAGTGTGCAGCATCCACCTGGCGTCTTGCTCAGGCGAGTGTAAAGGCATCCTGGAGAGCCCACCCAAGGGGAACAGTGGTAGACTTCCCAGGGCGTGGGGGGCTCAAGGACCAGCTGCTGAGATTTAGTGTCCCTGATTCCTGAGAATCGTACAGATTAGTGAGCTGCCTTTGCTGTGCTGGCGAGGAAATCCTGTGTTCTCAAGAACCAGAAAGGGAGTTGCTGCAAGAATAAACCCAAGCAAAGACATAACCATGTAGGGTCAAAAGCACAGATTTAAAAAAGATGACCATGTTTTAGCACTTGGAAACAAAATGTTCAGGGAAAGGCAAGTTGTTGGCAGACAGATTTGCTACGGAAGTCTTTTTACATAGTGAAAGCCCTACAAAGAGAGCATAATCCCAGCATCTGTGTGTCTTTTGAATTTAGGCAATTATAGTCTGAAGAATTCGGAATCCTTCTTAAGCATGGGAGGGTAGGGTGCTTGGAAGAGTGAAAGAAGCTCCTTTCTGAGTGACTCGTGAGGCTGTATTTCTCCTTTGTGTTCCCAGGTTATGGTGCACTGTCTGGCACTTAAAAGATGCTCCCTGAGGGCTCGTTGAATTTGCTTTCTTGAAATCAGGCCTCCTCTTCTTTACTCAGCAGCGGAGCATGTTAACAAGCTTTCACTGAAACCAGGACTGCTGGAGACAGCTCTCGGAAGGTCAGCAGTGTGGAGGCCGCTGAGCTGCTCCATCAGGAGGGGGACAGAGACTAGGGTGGGCTCAGCATGGCTTCGCTCTGAGGTTTAGTTCGTTAGCTGTAGAGCTAGTTTATGGGTAACTAAGGTGTTCTGATTCCTTGGAAGAACTAGAGAAATTCTGTTAGAATAAGTGACCAAATTTCTAAAGTACTATTTAAGAAATGCATTTTATTTCTTTAAAGTATTTTCAGTAATTTGTAACAAACTGTCAGAATATTGTTGGAGAAAGGTCCTCTTGAAGACTTACCTTACTGTGTAAATTAGCTTACAAAGTGTTGGTAAATGAGTGCTTCTAAGGTGTCTAAACTTATGATGTTAGGAAATAAAGATATTTCTCTTAGCAATCTTATTTTATGGTTTGTTTTGTAAATACCCTTTCCCTTTTCCCTGTGAATAGTATGAAGATAAACTTCAGTTCAATCACTGACATTTCTATTTCTTGATAAGTGGGACCAAATTACTGAGATTATATTTGTGTGATTTTTTTCTCAAGCTTGTCATTGGGCATTTTATAACTTACCTACTTTTGCTTTTTTTGGTTTTATAATGTATATTGAGGTGTTATAACTTCTAGACATTATAATGTCACATAGCAATGTCATACTTTGTGTGTTTAAATTTCTCACATTTTCCCATTTCAGTTATTTACTTAGCTTTTTACCATTCCTGGTTTTAAATCTAATTGAAATATAAGTGAAATATACTAAACTGCATATCTTTAAAGTAGACAATTTGATCAGTTTCAACATATGTGTCTACCCATGAAACCATCACCACAATCAAGATAGCAAACGTTTACATCACTCACAAAAGTTTCCTTTGCCCCTTTGTAACATCCATCCTGCCACTCCCACCTGTCTAGGTAACCACTGGTATGCTTTCTATCATTAATAGATTAGTTGGCATTTTCTAGAATTTTATATAAATATAATTGTATAGCGTACACTCTTTGTCAGTCTGGCTTCTTTCAGTTAGTATAAGGATTTTGATATACTTCTTGTTGCTTGTATCAAAGATGTGTTCCTTTCCATTGCTGAGTAGTAAGTACTCCATTGTATGGATATACCACAACTTATTTATCCCTCCACCTCTTGATGGAAATTTGTTTTTTTCCTCCAGTTTTTAGATAACTTTCTAAATAAAGCTGCTATAAACATTCATATACAACTTTTTGTAGGAGCATTTATTTTCATTTCTCTTAGGTAAATACCTAGGAGTGGAATGGCTGGATCATATGGTAGGCATATGTTTAGCTTTTTAAGAAACTACCAAACTGTGTTTTAAAGTGGTTGTACCATTTACCTTTCCAAGCAGCATTGTATGAGAGTTCCAGTGGCTTCACATTCTCACCAACACTTGGTATGGTCAGTGTGGGACTGTAGAGAAAATATTTTTATGTTTCTTTGTGGTTAGTAATTTTTGAACAAATTTTGCTGGGACCTGGGTTAAAAGATAAGTCTTGGAGTTGGTAAGAGATTTACCTCCTCAGAGGAATGTGTTTACGTGTCAGCGAGTCATGAAACTCGACCATGGAGACTTGGCTTGGCAACCCAGAGAGGCTTCTTATCTTCCCCTTGGAGACATTTATTTACATACATGGGTTAGACATGCAGCCGTTTGTCTCCTTTATGGTGAGCTGTTTGCTCCCATCCAAAGGCTAATAAAACTCATTTGAGGTACATTCTGAGCTAAGAACCCAGGATCCTTCACTTTTTCTTCCCAAGGAAAATTTTTGACACTAAGGAGGCAAATGTTTCTCTCCCTCTCTCAGGAAGTGAAGGGGGCCACTGTCTCTCTCCTATGTAAACTCCCAGGTTTATAATTTTGATGTTCTTCTCCTGTATTACAAATCCCAGTACGTGCAGTCTGGCATCTGGCTCTCATCGCGCTGCCCAGGAGGAAGAATTGGGTTAAAAGGGGAACCAGTGTGGTTATTGCTATGAGTTAGTAATAATCTGTCTCTGCTCTAGGAAATCTCATGTTAACTTTCAGAAAAATGTGAATAAATATAGATATTAAAAGCTTAAGAGTAGATTTTTAAAAAAAAGTTTTAGCCATTCTGATTACCATACCATGGTATCTTATTGTGGTTTTATTTTATATTTTTCTGATGACTAATGATGTAAGCATCTTTTCATGTACTTATTGGATATTTGTATATCTTCCTTTGTGAAGTGCCTGTCTTTTGACCATTTTTAAGTTGAATTGTCTTCTTAGTATAGAGTTGTTAGTGTTATTTATTATAGTCCAGATACAAGTTCTTTGTGTATATGTGTTGTGAATATTTTCTTCCATTCTGTGGCTTGTCTTTTTTGTTTTCTTAGTAGTATCTTTTGAAGAGCAAAAGTTTTTGAATTTAATAAAGTCCAATTTATCAATTTTTTCTTTTATAGTTCATACTTTTGTATTTTTTCAAGAAACCATTGCCTGTCCCAAGATTGCATAAATGTTCTTCTGTGTTTCTTCTATGAGTTTATAGTTTTAATTGTTACATTTAGTTCTTTGATCCATTTTGATGTAATTTCTCAGTATAGTGTGAAGTAAAGGTTCTTCTTATTTTGATGGACTGTGTTGTTTCGGTTTTTTTAGGTTGTCTCTAAAGTTTGGTGATGCTGAAAATCCCAGATGTCTTGATATAAGGTAGGTATGGATACCACTTTGGAGTATCTTAGGTTCAGTACCTCAGATTAGCTCCATATAATTTATTTATTCAACATGTTAGTATGAAGGACCTGCTGTGTGCTAAGCTCTGACATGTGAAATGTCACCTCTACCCATTACACTGAAAAGTCAGTGGTGTTATATGATGGGATCCTAGAGTAATGCTTTCTTTAGTTTCTACCAAAGCGTCCATAGTTTCCGCAGCTAGGGACTTTGAGAACACATGAACACATGAATGTGAGAACGTGACACTCTTTTCCTCTGAGCAAAGAGTAAAATATATTTAAAGCTCCAAGGGCTGAGGCTCTGGTTTGAGGTTATTTTCTATTTAGCTCCTTACAATGACTCACACTTATCATTTAATGATAATGAAAAATTCTCTGTTAAGCTGAATTCGCCAGCAGACAATCAAGACAGGCCCACATTTTTCTGTCTTTATGTGTGGAAGGATGCATCTGCCAACAGTGGTTTATCTGAGCAGTTAGGAACTGCTCTGGGGATGGGTGGGGCACAGCAATTTGAAGGCATTAAATTTCTTTTTCTTATCAAAATATAATGTTCCTATAGGACCAGCCTTTTAGTGGAGATAGCAGCTGTGTCTTTAACATTACTTGAAAAACCAGCAGGATGTGCTAGGCAGTCTTTCCCAAGCTGTGTTCTATGAAATACTTCTGCTCTATGGAAATATTGACAAAATTCCTCAGAAAAGGTGTTCTGTGGTCAAACGTGCTTGAGAGAGACTGCACACCATGTGCTGCTCTTGGAGATGCACTGTGTAAATTTTGTATATGAAGGTTTCTGTGAAGGCGTGCTCTTAAGGAAAGTGTTGTACCTGGTAGCTTTGATTAACCCAGTGTTTCCTATGTTTCACCTTGGAAAGCTCTCTCCTCAGAACACTTGCCTGTGTATCGTGGGACACTAGTGTTTCACTGGTCATAATTTAGGAAATACATGCCATCACCTTTTGGAGAAAGTTTAAAAGGAAAATAGAAACCCACAAGGTGACCAAACACATATACCTACATGTTTGATATAGGAATGGAGAATATTTTTGATTCAAATAGCACTTTTTTTCCCAAAAGGAACATAGCTCTATGATGATTATTTTTTCTGAGATAAAGGTATGTGGCAGACACTGTCAGTACCCCATCTATATCACCTTGGGCATTTCCACTTGAGGGTGCTGTAGTCCACCAGCTCAACTTTCAACTGCTAGCCTTTCTCTGCCTAACGTTTCCTCTGGCCGAAGGGGCCCACTACCTCCCATCCTTACCCCAGCAGCCCTCAACCAGTGAGTGAAGGAAGTGTATAAGTACCCCAGCTCCCTCAGCCTCAGGTGAGATAACTCAGAGGCATGCATTCTACTCTGGCTCCCAGGGTTCCCCATGGGCCTTAAGCCCCACTTCCCACAGTGGAAACGTGTTTAATAATATGTCGTTTTTAGCTGCCTTCGATTCCTCCGTCATTTCTCTTCTCTCTATTGTACATATTTTGAGTGACTAAATTCCCAAATAAATTTGGGATCACCTTCCAAAAATACTTTTTGTATTCACATCCTTGTCTCAGGGTCTGCTTCTGTAGGACCCCAAACTAAGACAAGGTAATACATGTCCATTGAAAACAGAAAAATCAGAAAATACTGAGCTATAAAAAGAAAAAAATGAAAATCATTCATAATCCAACCACCATTTGTAATCACTAATTAACATTTTGATCTCTATCCTTCCAGAATTTTTTTCTATGCAGTCACACATATTTTTTTTAGTGAAAAAAATGATCATAGCCTGTGTATATTATTACATTTTTATGGCTGGAGAATGTTCCATTCCAGAATGGCTAAGAATAAGGGCTCTGGTCTCAGACTGGGTTTGAAGCCTGACTCTGATAACTTACTCTCTAAGTGAACTCGCACAAATTATTTATTTAACACTTCTGTGTCTTAGATTCCTTGTCTGTGAGATGAGGATGATAATGTTATCTACCTCATGGTGTTGTGGTGGAGATTAAATAAAATACACGTAAAGAACATAGAAGGGTGCTTCACACATAGTAAGAGCTATTACTATTATTTTTGACCGTTATTTATTTAGCTAATTCTATATTGATGTCCATTCAAGTTTTTCTCAATTTTTTTGCAATAATAAAATCAAGCGTTGATTCTAAAAAAGAAAAAAGCCAAGCTTTTTGTGTTTTTCCTTTTGTAGGAATTTGTATTGCTTGCTTTTGGGGGCTGCCCTGTCGTTTGCTTTCGGTCCCACCCATCAGGAGGCTCTTGTTCAGAACCGGAAAAGCAAAAGCCTCCCTAGCGCCCGTTCCACTACCTGACAACAGAGGGCGTGATTGTACTGTCCGCAGATGATATCCTGTGTCAGCAAATGTAAAAGTGCTCTGGGGGTCATACCATCTTATAATCATTTTCAGATTCACCCTTACCAATTACAACAAGTTGTCCATCCAGAGCTGGTTTAGTTTGCACCGAGTTGAGATTATTTTCAATAATTCCATCCAAGCGACTTTCAATGCGACTGGCATCTATGCTCCGTCAAGCTCTTCCTACCACTGCCAGCACGTCAGCAGCCTGCAGCGCTACGATGCCCTCTTGGTGCCCAGCGACACGGGTGATAGGTCAAGCCTGTGGGAGGTCACGTTTGTTGATTTCCAGGTAATAAACTAAAACGTATGTTTGATGCACCTGCGTATTTGGTGCCAAAGAAACTCAGTGTTTGTATGAAAAGACCTGAAACTGAAACATAGGTGTTGAAGGAAAAGAGAGGAGTGGATACCTTTAAAATAATATCGGTATTGTTTGTCTTCTCAGGTATGAAATGGACTCGGATAGAGTATTTTCTCTCCCTGCACTCCACGCCCACCCTGCCTTGCTTTCACATTCAGGTGTAAGCAGTCGCTAATACCTATCCGTGAGGCATGCCAGCAGTCTAAGCCGGGGGGAAGCTGTGGCATGAAGCCCAGTGACTGACACTTCCTGGAGTGAGAGGCCCTTCTGGGGAGAGGAATTGTCGGACAATTATTGTATTTCCTTCAGGGAGTGGAGCAGTGATCCTATCAGGGCAGATAAGAAGTACATCTGTAGTGTGAGTGACAGCTTTGGCAGGTAGCATAGGAGAGGAACTGTCAGCCAGGGAGTCAAGAATATCCCAGAGATCCTCTTGAAAGTATTTGGGGAAAGACATGGGAGCGCAAGAGCTTCCTTCTCACCGCCCGAGTCTCGGGCTGAGAGGCGTCGGTCAAGTTGCTCTGTCCTGTTTACCTGTGAAAGAAGCTTAACTTGTTCTTCCAACTCACTGAAGTGGGCAGGGTTTTACATGTCCCTTTACAAATCGTTTCCATATTTAAACAAAAATTCATATATATACATGTTTAACTCTCCCTCCCCCAGCCTGGAGAGGTGTGGTGGTGTTGATGAGAGGCAGTTTGGGGTAGGGAAGGAGCTGGCATTTTGGAGTCCAAAAGACCTGGTTTCAAATTACTTCTCAAATTACGCCTGGGCAAGTTGCTTCACTTTCTCAAGTTCTGACCTATCTTCATGGATGTAGGTAATTCATGGCCTAATATATGTGGCAACACTCAGGACTGTGTCAGGCATGGGTTAGCAATAGCAACTACTTACGAGTCCCCTCTGTGTGTTGGCGCTGTTGTAGTTATTGTATATGCTTTGTCTTCAAAGCTTATTATAATGCTGCAAGATAGCTGTTAGTATCCCTGTGTGACAAATGAGGTGACTGAAGCTCTGATATTTACATAATTTTTCAAAATGATATAACTGGTAAATGGTAGAGGCAGAATCTGAATTCTGGACTGTCTGGTTCCAAAGACTTCTATCTATCTATGTCTATATATCTATATATATATTTGTAATGTCTCTCTCTTGCTCTTTCAAAAGAGAAGCAGGCAGAAAGACAATGAGAAGGTAATAGTGAAAACAAGGAATAATTCGTACATAATCTTGCCTAATTAGAACAGAGGAATTGACTGATTTATGCCTCCACCTGTTCCACACATGACTTAAGGGGACTTATAGAAATACTACAAGAAAAATAACTTTGAAAAATGGGCAAACCACTTCACACCCATTAGATCGCTGTTAGTCAAAAAAAACAAGGCAAACAGAAAATAAGTGTTGGCAAGGATGTGGAGAAATTAGAACCCTTGTACATTGCTGGCGGGAATGTAAAATGGTGCAGCTGCTGTGGAAAACAGTATGGCAGTTCCTCAAAGAATAGGCAGAGAATTACTGTGTGATTCAGCAGTTTCACTTTGGGGTATATACCTAAAAGAATTAAAAGCAGGAACTTGAACAGATATTTGTACAGCCATGTTCGTAACAGCATTATTCACAATAGCCAAAAAGTGGAAACAGCCCAAATGTCCATTGGTGAATGATGAAAAACAAAATCTAGTATATACATACAATGGAATATTATTCAGCTTTGGAGAGGAAGAAAATTCAAATACATGCAACAACATGAATGAACCTTGAGGGTATTACGCTAAGTGAAATAAGCCAGACACAAAAGGACAAATATTTGTATGATTCCACTTATATGAGGTATCTAGAGTAGTCAAATATGGAGACAGAAAGTAGAATCGTGGTTGCCAGGGGCTGGAGCAAGAGGGGAGTGAGGAACTAGTGTTTAATGGGTACAGAGTTTCAGTTTTGCAAGATGAAGAGTTCTGGAGATGGATGGTGGTGATGGTTGCACGACAATCTGAGTGTACTTAATGCTGCGGAACTATACACCTAAAAATGGTTAAGATGGTAGATTTTATGTTGTATATATTTTATAATAAAAAATGTAAAACAAAAAAATGGGCAAAGACATGAGGGTTAAGAAAAACAAAGGAAGAAAAGATCAGTTAGAACCACTGTACACAAAACTGCAAGACCATCTGTCTGCCTTGGCTGGAAGCGGCACTGTAATTTGGCTCTGAAGCTTTGGAGCAGCCAGCATAAGAAAGAATCACCCAGTTACATGTCCCCAGGGTTCATAAGACTACTGGAAATGTGCCTGTGAGGAGCACGTCCATCCCTGGTGTTGTGCGACACATGCCAGCATCCTCAGTAGCAGCTCTGTAGTGAATACAGCATTGGGTGTTGGAGGTGGGTCTTGTTAATGTAGACAGATGGCAGAGCGCAGGCTCAGTCCAGGCGAGAGGTGGTGGTGGAGATGCTGGTTAAGGTGTGTGTACAATAGGCTGCATTCCACATATCCAGCTTTGCTGGTCTGGCTTATTCTAGGAGTACAGAGTGGTGGCACGAACATGGCAAACCCCGATGCCTTGGGGAAAAATTCAGATGCCAGTGCCTCAGGAGGGCCCACTGGGGACCACGGCAAAGCGTAGCCGGCATCACAAGGGGCATATTTTATTTAAGTTCAGCTAGTTTTTGCTTTGTAGGAATGCAGTGTTGCTGGATCTCCTGACTTTTTAGGAGAAGCTAGAAATCCAGATTCTGATGGGAAATTTTCAGGACGTTCAGAACTCTGGGCCAAGCAGAACTCACCTGTGGGCTAGATATAGTGTTTGCAACCTCTAGTCCAGAACATGGATGGACAACACGTCCTTCAGGCATTCTCCACAGATACTGGTCTCAGCCAAGTCCTGTTAAGAATTAAGTGGCTGTCAATGTGAGGACATTCTCTTTGGCTGGAGTTGCAGCATCAAATGAGGCCATCTTTTGTCATTGAGGAACTTGACTCTTCAGGCACTAGTCTGAAGAGAAGGCCACTTTGCCTCTTCATAGAGCGGGCAGGCCAGGGATCCCAGAAGCCAGGCCAAGAGTTTTCTTCAGAAGCTGTTTTGGATTCAGTCTAGAGCACAGACAATTGAGTGAACGAGGCCCGTAAGGTCTGTGGCATGATGGGAGGCTACAATAATTTTAGCATAGAAAAATGCTAAAGTGCCTACTTAAGTCATAACAATGAATTCTCAGTAAAGCACTCATGGATAATTCAATTTTCTGATGTGCCCTTTTAAAACCAGTTAGTTGACTGCATGAGGTGATGCTGTGTAGGGTTATATTCTAAAAGCCAGCTAGATGTCAGGGCTGCCTTCCACAAATGGTTGCTCTTGTTTAGCACAGTTACTCTGTAGCCCTGTTTCTTTCATTGTGACAGTATCTAGATATCGAGGTCAGTTGTGGATTTGAACCTCTCCTAGTTCCAAGTAGTTAAACACTTCATTGCACATATGAGAAAGCTTTCCTTTCTATCTCTGGGCGGGAGCAAGGAGGGGCTGCTATGCAGCTCTTCCAAAAAGAGTACCAAGTCTGTAGGTTATGACCGATAAAGAGGGAGAGGTAGGGACGGGAGGAAGAAGGGACAGAACACACCAGGAGTTACGGAGTAGTGAACCGAGAAGTGGTCTGAAGCCAGGCTGCCTGGGTTTGAATTATAGCTTCACTGCACTTAATGCTGTGTGACTCTAGGCAAGTTACTTAACTTTTCTGTGTCTCATCCATAAAATAGGGATAAAATAGTAACTTATTCACAGGCTCTTGTGAGTATTAAATGAGTTAAGGCTGGGTCTGGTACATAAAAAACCTTCAGTAAGTGTTAGCTTTTATTATTGTCTATGTTTTACCTCATTAGGAATCATGATATCGTCCCTTAAAAGACTCTTTCTGTGTAATTCCTGTCAACAGAATCAAAGGCAGAGGAACTGAGACTTAAAATTCTTTGTGAAGTTTATACTAACACTTATAAAATTTTGAGTGTGCTTTGAATTTTAGAGATACCACAACTGTTGTGGTTTTAGATGAATGGAATATTCCTAAGGATCAGATTAAAAGAGGTTTTATTTCAGAGCCTTGAATTTCATGAGCCTTTTAATTATGACAACCATACATCCCAGAGTTTCTGGGTCAGTCTTGGTTTAAAATTGTTTCACTGTCTGCATAGCACACTCACATTTGTTAGATTATGTCTTTAAATTATTCAGAAAATATGGCCGCAGTATCTTAAATGTGGCTGATTAGGGGTCCAGAACCCCCAGCCCAACTGGGAAGTAGATCTTAGGAGAGAAAGAATATGTCCCTTAAGCTCTTCTCTTTCTCCTGACAGATCCAAGGCTTTACCATCAAGGGAGGACAATTTGCCAAGGCCCGAGACTGCGCCTCTTCCTTCTCACCAGCTGTTCTGATCGGCCTGGCGATGTCCCTGATCCTGCTGCTGGTGCTGGCCTACGCCCTGCACATGCTCATCTACCTGCGCTATCTGGACCGGCACTACAGTTTCATCGCCCCTCCGGCCCACTTCCCCCAGCTGAAAGCCCGAGATGCAGCAGAAGAGAAGGAGTTGCTGAAGAGCCAGGGAGTTGAATGCTATGAACTGAGAAGCCAACAGATCTGCAAAATTTATGTTTAACAGCACAGGCACGTCTCGCTCAAGTCCACAATGGGCTTTGAAAGGACTTGTTTCTGTTCTCTGATGTTTGACTTGTGATATAAGGTTTTCACCAAATGGCTTGATTAAAAAAAAGAAAAGGAAAATACATAATAAATCACTTTTGAAGCATCTACTGGCCTATTTAGATAGACTTGGGGCAATAAAAAAGGTATCTCAGGAATCCCACAGACATAAATGTGATTGTTGCCCCAAAGCTACCTTGAAAGCAAAGGGATGTTTCAAGTTAAGGAGACAAAAAAAAAGAAGAATGCAATATGGAGAAGGGAAAACACAGTTGTTCTTCCTTGCTTGTGCCAGTTTGGTTGTGATAAGTATAGAAATAATAAATCCCAGGTTAACTGGAAGTTTAGAATTTAAAATATTTTGGAACATAGTTTGCATTTTTCAGAAATTATGTCCAAATTTTGTTTTAAAAAATAGTCTTTTTTTCTCTTTCACAGAACTGTTTAGAAGACTCCTGTTGATGTGATGGAACCCTCTACTTAAGGGCTTTCTTATTGGTTACTTTGCTATTCAGAGGCAGCCCGGTTCAATCTGTGAAGTTGGGGTAATAGTCTTGGCAGTATCTTACCTTTCCCATCTGGTTGTGGTGCCCAAGTTTGTCTCATTTGTCTGATTTAGAACTCTATTAGCTCTACTAGGTACCACTTGAAATAGACAGCTGAGCTAAGTAAGAACAGTGTGCTTTCTGTGCAAACACAGCTTCAAGGCAAATCCCCTAATCCCCCTTCCAACGAGATAGTGTCCCCCAAACTCTTCTCTAATAGAAATTCTGGAGCCACAACTGATCCTACCACCACTTTCTTGCATATAGATTTCCCCATAATCATTTTCAATTCTTGGAAGATTGGCTCACTGTGCATCCTCACCAAAGCTTCTCTAATATGTCTTCTGTGTTAAGGAGATCTTAAGTGTAAAAAGTACATTGTATTTCTCTTACTAGGATTCCACACATGACCGTGGTTCTACTAAGAAGATGCTGCTGCACAGAACTTAGAATCCGCATGGGAACAATGTGGGGCAGGGGGTCATGCACACAGAAATTGGATCTTTTGGGCAGCTGTGGTAATGGGTCTACAATCTAGTCCCATTTGATGCCAAGTAGTGAATGACAGTGACTGTGGGATTTCTGATAGAACAGTCTCATGTTGGACATTGCTTCTCGTTGCATTATTCTTGGTTGTAAAATATAGGTTTGGTTCCAGCCCTCTCAGAATTCTGTGAGCTCCTAATACTCTACAGTGAATTTCTTTCTGTTTTAACATGTAGAGTAAATTCTGTAGTCTGCAACTAAGAATCTTGATTTATGTACTTATTAGTACCAAAGATGATTACAGAGAACAGACCTTCAAGAAACTTGGAAGCTAGGATTGATTCTCTCACTCTGTTTGGCTTAAAACCAGTGGGGACTCTGTTAGCATTAGAGAATGGGAAACTGATAGCCCACATCATTCCGTAATGGAACAGATTTCCATTGTGGTTGCCTTGAGTGTCCATTGGTGGTGTAAATGGCTGCTGTGATAGGCTATGGGTACATGAGGGTAGGCATAATTTATTGTTCAAATTGGGACACTTCTGAAAGTGAAAGGGAATAGCATTAACAATTCTAAGATAACAGACATAGGATGATGCCAGGCAAACTGAGATTTATAGTCACCCTGGTGATATCCTGTAGGGTAGGCTGGCTCTTTGTAACTGTGCTGGAGGGCTTACAGAAAGAAAATAATAACTCAGGATTTTAAATTCACAGTTCAAGGCATGGTGAAAGATCTGGGGTATTTCTAAGACTACTCTACGAGGATCTCTTACCTCTTGTCAAAGGGCTGACATAGTTGAAAATCAGACAGAGGGCTGACCCTGCAAATTGGTGAACTGCATTGCAGGTGGAATTCAGATCCTTGCCAGGTCTCTTATATGAACATGAGAGTGTTGATTACAAAATAGAGGAACCTTGAAATAGGAATGGTAACTTTTGGGAGAATTTAGATGACTTTAAGAATATTGAACCCCCAAATTCTACTAAGTTTTTCTTGCTAGAAGAAGCAACCCCTATGAGGTGAAGCTGTTCTTGCCTTGCTTGAAGACCCTGTGATGACCTCACCAGAGATAGTTCCCTTGCCAGGGGTGCCAATTTCCTTAAATGCCTCTATGCAATTAGAGTCACATTCTAGCATATCCTAGGGAACCAGCTGTAAAGACAAATCTGGGAGAAGAAAATTGCAAGGTTTTGATAAGTTATGCAGTAAAAGACTTGGGGGATATATGTGAGGGACTGGATTCTGGAGGTGCTAGCTCTGAGAGTGAGGTGTATAATTTTAGATTAGGCTGAATTTTTTGATATAGGTTTTCTTACAAGATTTTGGACTAAATGGCCTGGTTTGAGCAGCTGGGAATATTTCTACCAGTTTTCTCAGTTGGTTAATTAAAATCTGCACTCAACGGTGGCATACACTAAATGAAACAGAGAGACCAGAAATTCCTTGGTATAATATAGAGAAAGAAAAGAAATTAATAACTTAGAGAATTGAGATGTAGGAATGGATTTATCATGTATGACCTGCTCTCCCTTCCCATAAATATTTTCCTCTGTAAAGGCCCAGAGGATACTCCTTTCGTCATAGCACTGAGAAATACGTTGGGAACGTAGTATCAGCATTTTTGAAAAGTGCTCTAGTGGCTTTCCTCCACAGGCTGTGGATGAAGGTGGGAGATGCTATCTTTGTACTGGAATCCTTAGTCTCTTTAGGGATGCTGGGATTCTGGAGTGGCGGAGGTCAAGTAGCGGCACGGCAGCCTTAAAGGGCTGAGGGGCAGGAGTGTTAATCAGATTAGATTGTTTGTTAATGGTCAAGTGATCTATGACAAATGTGGCTGGGTAGTCCACTGAAGTATTTGTTCATCTGAATAATAATAATAATAATAATAATAATAAAATCTAGTTACGGTATAAAAAAGACCTTACTTGAGCCATTATGGTGGATTCCCGGAGCTGAGACATTTCATAACTCAGATCCCTTGAATGAAGAAGAGACCTCTTAAAAAAGGGTCTTTGCTCTTCATGTCTAATGTTGAGCATTATCATGAACAATTTTATACTTGTCCATCCTGTATCTGTCTTTTTCCATTACTTCTGGTATATTCTGATCTTCAGATATTCCCATGGATACCTTCATTATTAACCCAACAGATATGTGATTATTGCCCTGTAATTGTTAGTGCTGCAGGAGCATAGCCTTTGAGATGTCTGTCTTCCTGGGAGTTCTGGAACAATATGGCAAAGAAAATGATGTTTGACATGAGTAGGAGTTGACCAGGTAGGTGACATGGAGAAGGACACACATAGCAGAAGGAAACATATATGCAAAGACAGGACTTTATCACCTGTGTGGAGAACTCGGAATACATGTATGTGGGCGGGCACATATACTGTGTTTAGAGGAGTAAAGAGAGATGAAGCTGGAATGAAGAGAGAGAACAGATCATTGTGCTCAACTAAAGGCTTAGAATCTTGACTTTAGGTAATGGAGAAGCCCTTGAGAGGATTTTGGAGGATTTTAAGCAAGATGTTTACATGGTATGTGAGTGTAGTAGAATAGAGACAGAAATGCCAATTAGGAAATTATTGCAATAATTCAGACAAAAAATAATAGGACCTACACTAAGACAGTGGGATGAGAGGAAGGAGCTATAATAGGTATTTAAGGAGGTTAGTTCAATGAGATCTGGAAACCAATTGGCAAATTACAAATGACTGGTAGGTATCTTATTTGGGGTGCTGGGTGGATGGAGATGCCAGTCTCTGTAATCAGGGAGAAACTGATGAGGGTACGAGTGGGAGTGGGAGTGGGGGATTCCTGTAGACAGGTGCTGTAATAGAGGTCCAAGTAGGCAATTAGATGTATGAATCTGGGGCAAAAGAGAGAGATCGGGACTAGAAATGGAAATTTGGAAATGTAGCAGATGCTGTCAGTGTCACACACATATTCTTTTGCACCTTACCATTTCGGTGCATTTAGCCCATCTTGCCATTGCCAGTAACTGCCCTCAGAGGCTGCTCTACTTGTGTTCATGGCAGGCTGGAAGTACTGAGGAATTTATGCCCCCTTGGGAGTAGCCCTCATCCAGTGACTCTCAGGAGTTGTGTATAAATACCCCAGGTCACTTATCCCTTGACTGGGATAATTCTAGAGTATGTTTTACACCATTTCCTGGAGCTCCCTAGCAAGACTAAGCTCTTGCCCATTGTGGTATCTTGCTTGATAATGTTCACTTTATTGACTCCTTCTCTGCCCTGTCTTACTTCCCTGCTCCCCTAATGATGTTTCTTTGCATCACCTCCAAAATAGACTACTTGCATTCAACTCCTTGTCTCAGGATCTGCTTCTCAGGAAACCCAAACTAAGACAGGCAATAATGGGTGTAGGGGAAAGTGGGAAGTGAGGGTGTAGTGGTGATGGAGAAATGAATGAGATCACCCAAGGAGAAAGCATTGACTATAATAGACTCCTGGGGAACACCGTCAGTATGGGGTAGGATGAGAAAGAAATCTGTGAAGGGGCCAGAGTAGAAGCAATCAGAGAAGGAGGAAGGCAAACCAAGAAAAGAACAGTGAGGCAGAAATCAAAGGGAGGAAGGGAGTAGTCAGTCATGTCAAATGCTGGAGAGAGATCAAGTAAGAGAAGAACTGAGTGTTCATTCCTTGGATTTGGCCAATAAGAGGTCATTAATGAACATGATACTCCATGGAAAAGAGGAAGTAGAGATAGCTCAGAGTACTTATTCCCCTGATTTTCTCCCAGAGGGAATACTTTGGACTGGTTACACCCCTTCTCTGAAGGTCACTTCTTCTCTCAAGACAGCCTCCTCTACATGACTCTCTCCTTCTGGGTTTCAGTAATTTCTTCTCTTGTCCCTTTGGGCTCAGAGATGGAAACAACTCCATTGCTACAAGGCCTGGTTTACTGCACTGTCCCTTGTGGGTCTCCTATACCATACTGGGACCTACATGAATGGTCCCTTTGTAAATAAATCCTCCTTAAATTGTCCTAATTTGAGGGTGCCTGCTTCCTATTGGGAATGAGACTTATACAGAGGCTTAGACAAATTAACATTTATTTGTTGCTTTATTTCTAGCATTTTTTCAGAATGGATTTAAAACAGCCATCTTAATAAGATGGGAGAAACTTGAGCATGTTGTAGGGAAAGGCAGCACTTCAGAGCTTG